GTCTCTAGCCTGCTTCAAAGTGCATGAGGCGCAACACTGATCTCCTTACGAACCAGAGCCTGCTTCAAAGTGCATGAGGATGGTCGTCTTCCGGACGTACCGGGCATCGTCCTGCTTCAAAGTGCATGAGGACGGTATCGATCCGAAGGTCACGACCCGAAGATCTTTAGGTGATCACACAACTCATTATTATCCGAACCCAGCGTATGACGCTTCAGGGTATTTTAGGTGATCACACACTCACGGCAGGCAGGCATTCTCGCACAATTTCCCCACATGCCTCACACTAGGCATACATAATGCGTGTCCATGTTATGCAATGCAATGCACCATGAGCACCAATGAAATTCAAACACTCAATATCACAACACGTGCTCAATTGGCCAAATTAATACCGTGTGGCCCGATGTGCGATTCACAATTCAATAATTAATTGCAAGCCAAACAGTGGCCAGTCGCACTCCACAAAAATCAGCCACACCACATGCGACATAGCAGTACTCAATCAATCACAATTAAGCATGAATTACATACAATCAGTCAACCCGAACATACCCGGCAATTCCACCAATGGGCTCCTAAATTGGCCAATCAATCCAATTACTCTCCCCAATAAATTCTCATTGATCCACTACATTTTTCCCGATAATAATTCCTACCAATCGGTAGACTAATTCCTCTCAGCATGTACTAGTATTCCTAAACCAATCCAGAAAAATACACTATCAGTCCTAATCCGGGTTTAGGAATTTTACTCACTTAATCCAAGGTCACTATAACGAGGAACGGCGGCCGATCACTGGTGAACAGTGGAACCGGCGACGGCGTACGGACAGCGGCGTACGGACGGCGGCGTACGAACACTGTACGAGATGGTGGTGAACAGTGACATACGGACGTCGAGGACGTCACAGTGGCAGTAGCTCGGCCATACGAGCTCCGGCGCGGCGGCTGTGCTAACCCGGGAGAGAAAAAAAAAAAGGGAGAGAAAGAGAAAGAAAGAGAGAGAGAGAGAAAGGGGTCGGACAGAGGCGAGGCTGAGGCTAGGCACTGAGGTGGTCGACGGCAGGGGGAAGGCGGCCGGCGGCGGCGCTCCGGTGACCGGCGGCGGCGCTCCGGTGACCGGCAGCGGCGCTCCGGTGACCGGCAGCTTGCTCCGGCAAGGCCTAGTCGAGAGAGAAGATGAGAGAAAGAGAGTGATCGGGAGGAGAGAGAGGTCTGGCCGAGAGTGAGGGTGAGGAGAGAGAGAAACAGATTTAATTTGGTCAAATTTTATGGTCTAGGGTGCCAAGTGTCACAAATCTAACCCAAAATGACCATTTTGCCCCTCATCCAATGGCCACCATTAAATCTTATCCAATAATTCAAGGGCATTTTGGTCCTTTCCTGCAATAATTAGGATAAGTCCAATTTTAATTAATTTCCTTAATTATCCCCCAAAATTCGAAGCCAAAAATAGCCCAGGGGCAAAACCGTCATTTTTCCGGTCCCGGGACGAAGTTCCATTTTTCGCCCGTACCAACCCTCCATGTGCGTGGCCAACATAATGTGGTGTTAGAATTGCAAAAACAGCCCTTTAAGCCTTCGAAAATCGACTGTAAAGTTTCGGGAATAAAATAATATTATTTTTCACTTTCGAGCCAAAATTCCAATTTTTGACCGAAACCACTCTAAATGTGCGTGGCCACCCCAAAATGACATCGGCCGTGAAAAATAACCTCAGACGGCCTCAGAATCAACGTCGGGGTCCCGAGGGGCAAAATCGTTAATTTTTCCAATTTTTGTCGAAATTCCAATTTTTGGCCATAACAACTCCTGGTATGCGTGGCCAACATAATATGACGTCAGATTCCCAAAAATAGTCTCTTAAGCTTTCGAAAATCGACATCGAAATCTGGGCCCAATTCCGTGAACAAAACTCGCTAAACTTTCAATTTCAGGGTCTCTCACTAACGGGCAGCTATTTAGAGGTTACGCGTATCGACCTAGGGCTATCCGTATCGTGATGGTCTCGATCATTGAGAGAATGAGAAATTATCACTAGTTCTAGAGGTCACGATCGTCCGGTTTAAGTTCAGGACTGGTTGGCCACGTGCACTCTCGGTCATTCAGAATCACCTGCGATCCGATTGTACATCGTTGGCCTTGGCCAAACCAAATCCGTTACTTTTCCTAAGATCGATCCACATTGGTTCATAATATTCTCTCATCATTTCTTGTGATCGGTGTCCGCTTCGCGATCGGATCCTTGGTCCACGTACCGCTTTCTAATTAGCCATACCCTATTGGTTAGTATCCCAAGAGTGATCAGCTTTGGGCGAGACTTACTAAAATGAAATACGAAATAATGTCAATTTTATTGATCCCGGAATTACATCGAAATTCGGGCTGTTACAGGGACCACATCACACCATAGCTCATCAATGTAATTTTTCCAATCGAAAATTGCACAAGACACGTCTTGCTCACCTTCATTTCGTTCCCTTTCCTAATCCACGACAGCTTGTATGGTTGAGGATGATGTTCTGTTTTTAGCCCCAACTTCTCCACCATAGTAGTGGACACCACATTCTCGCAACTCCCCACATCTATTATCATGCTACATACTTTTCCTCCACTAGTGTACTTAGTATTAAAAATATTATGTCTAAGCCACGATTCATCGTCTACCACAACAACATTTAAGACTCTTCTAATGACTAGGGACTCACCAGAATCAGCATAGATAATCCCTTGTTGTTCCGCATCCGCATCCTCTTGTTCTCCTTCAGATTCATCATAGACTGGATTATCAACAAGCGTCACTATCTGTCGGTTCGGATAATCAGCAGCAAAATGCCTGAGTCCCTTACACTTGAAACATCGCTTGGCTGCATCTCCTCTCCTGCTAGTTCTAGCACTACTATGTCCCTCCTTAGATGTAGGTTTAGAACTCGCACCCTTAACTACGGCTGGTATCGAATTGGCTACAGATGTTCTCGCTTTTCCTTAGGATTCTTTGCCTAACCATCGATTCTGAAATTTGGAACTGCCGTCCTTCCTTTTGCACTAACCTTCCACCTTCAAGGCCAACCTGCACACACCTGCATAGGTCCAATACTGCTGTAATTGGACAACATCAGAAATTTCATACCGCAGCCCCGCCAAATATCGAGCAATTGTTTGCTCGTCTTCCTCAGCCACATCACAATGCATCTGCAATCGATCAAACTCCTTGGTATATTGCTCGACTATTAAACCTCGCTGCTTAATGTTGTGATACTCAATAAACGCCTCCTGCTTATAATGAGTAGGCAAAAATTTCTTTTGCAACAATTTCTTCATCTTATCCCAGCGATTCACTTTTGATTTCCCCTTTCTAGCACATTGCCTTTTCACATGCTCCCACCATATCGAGATATGTTTTCATAATCTAATAGTCACTAATTTAACTTTCTGCTCTTCGGTCAGATCCTTAATATCAAAGATCCTCTTTATTGTATGTAATCAGTCAATAAACTCATCAGGATGAGCCTTACCATGAAACTTAGGAATCTCGATCCTCATCCCGAAATTATGAGAAAAAGGTTGATTTCTAGGTCGTACTCCTCGATTCCGTTCCTGGTTCAGAATCCCGAAAGGGTTGATGTCCTCCCCTTCATCATCGGATGGATCCCTAGATTCCGCTTCTTCTTCGGATTGAACGTCCAACCACGCCTTCGCAAGTTGTCACTCCAAATCCTGGATTCGCCTTCTCTGTTCTTCAATTTCTACATCTCGCAGATCTCTTAGACGCGGTAGTTCGTCTGCTTCAGGAACAACTCTACACCCCCGGCCACCACGAGTCCGCCGTCCACGACCAACGCGATTCTGTTCAACCATTGATTCAAGCAACATTTGCTCTGATACCAATTGATGGCAAATCACGATAGAAAATTGACTAAACAGGAATATTCGATAGAGGAACAATTCGTCCTCTCAAGTGTGAATATAAAAATCAAATATCCAAAAAAAAATCGCCCAATAACGAAACCCTAAACACCACTTTATATGGTGTTAAACCTAATTACAATAGGAAACGCGAAAATTACGAAAACACCATTAAAATAACATTAAAAATAACGAAAACTATGAGTATTGATCAGCGGCCCGTTCTATACAGCCGATCAAATTTCAGCCCATTCCAAGTTCGCCAATCTAAGTGCATCACTACTACTGAATCCATGAATAGGCAAGAGACAACCTAAAGAACTGAAACATCTTAGTAGCTACAGAAATCAAGCCCATGGCCTATAGTTGGATAAACCAGTTCCGATTGTGCAAAATAAGCGAAGTCTATCTTCCCCAGAGGAGTATAACTCGTATGGTGGTGGGCAGGAAAGATTGGGTTGAAAATGTTTCATTGGTGATTATGATGGCTGCGGGGAGGTCGTGGTGGCGCCGTGACGGCAACGAGGTTCATGAAATCTATGGAGGTTGTGACAGATACAACGGAGTTGGCGACCGTTGCGAGGAAGGTCGTCTTGGGAATTGCAGTTACACCAAGACGCGATAAAATCAATGGGATGCACAGAGGGAAAAGAGCATTGGCGATTATACAAGGCTCCTTTTTACGAGAATTTCGAAGATCATGCAAATCCATGCAATGTTTTGAGGTCTTCTTGCAGGCAACCCATCAAAAAGTTTGGTTGGAATCTTTTCTCCAAGCAAGAACTTTTGATTGATTTCGTGATGTGATTCCTAATTTCTGAAAGTATTGTAATAGATTTGCTCTATGACACATAATCCAGCATTTTGAAACCGACCTGATCGAAATGGGCAAGAAAGAGTCACAACTCGTAAAACGCATGAAGCACAAACAAGAACTCTCGATTTGTTATTAATTCAAAAGATAAGCTCGTTACAACAGAGAATAATACAAATACAAATAGTATAAAAACCCTAATGATTCACATATAATAGACAATTGGATAGCTATTATAAAAATGTAAACAAGATTGCGTAGAATCTAATTAGCCGAATCACTTAAAAACAATAACCGACTCGAGCAACTTGGGTAGGCTCTGAAGATTATTGCATCCGAGGATGTGGAGTTCCCGAAGATGAGAAAGGCGCAAAATACTTGGAGGTAGGCCAGAAATCGGAGTGTCGGACAGTTTCAGGATTGCCAAAGACGACAATGTCCCGATGTCATAGTTGATTCTCCCCTCTAATCTCTGGCATGACGATAAATCTATCTCTTCTAGCTTCTCCAAATTTAGTATAGCTTCAGGGAACTCGTGTATGAAAGTCTCCTTCATTCTAAGCACTTTCATAGCTTTCAAATCCTTGACTGAAGGTGGTAACTTCTGAATCCCAGTGTGAGATAAATCCAGGGATTGCAGTGAGCTGAGCTTCCCTATTCCATCTGGAAGATAGGATAGCCTCCCGCAGTTCTTCAGAGACAGTGTCTTCAGTTTCTCCAACTCCTCGATGGACTCCCGGAGGGTACTGATTTCAGAGCCGTCTAGAGCAAGAAATGTGAGAGACTTTAAGTACCTGATTGAATTGGGTATTTCATTCAGGTGTTTACAACCGCGAGCACTGAGGATTTTGAGCTTCCTGATGGAACCTTCTTTGAAATTAATCCGACGAATAGAAGTTCCATCAATCAACAGCTCTTTCAAGCCTCTCATGGGACCCAAATCTAGTGATCCACCGACGAGACTGCATCCCTTCATATTCAAAGAAACCAACTCCTTCAGATTACCAAATGATGGATGGATAGCTGCTAGTTGAGAGCAACCTTCCAGAATAAGTCTTTCCAGCTCCATTGAAGCAGGAAATTTTGGAGTGGTAGTCAATTGGACACAGCCAGTTAGTTTCAAAACTTTCAATTTCTTTGTCTGCAAGACAAATAGGTTATGATAGTAAATGTTTTGTTCCTGATAAATACGTCCTCCACAGAAAAAATGAATGAAGATAGTGAATTCAGTCCGCACCTGGTCGAGCAGCTCCCAACCTCTCCAGTCTCCATCAACCTGACTCCACGACAAATCAAGAATCACCAAGTCTTTTAAATTCAGATTTAAATCGCCAAAAGTCTTTGGGCACCCTCGCCAATCAAGCCACCTTAAGCTCAAAAGACGATCCCCAAAGTTTCCCCGAATATTAGCCTGATCCAGCTTCAGGAACCTCAACTTCTGTAAACCATCAAATTGATCACATCCAAAACAGAAATTCCCTTCGGATCCCTCACCAAACTCGAGCCCGAGGGCTTCGACTTTCTTAGTACCCTGTCAATTAAGCAAAACAAAATTAAACTTTAAAAAAATGGAGCTGTATTTTAGCATCAAACTCGACAAATAATTGTACGGAAAGGATCAATAACAGTATCAATTGGCATCTAAAGTATAAAAGATGTGACGCAGTGCTCCCAGAAGTTACCTCACTTTTATTTAGTACATGCAGTGCGTCTTTGTGGTCGCACAATCTACTGCGTTTGCAAGGTTCATTTCTGTTTTCACTCTTGACCAGTTCCCGGCCAAAATTTTTCAGTATTTCATGCATGCATAGTTCTTTATCCTCTCCGATTTCTACCAAAGACCTGGCATGAAGAGCTCGAATCGATAAAGAAGGATAATACCCATAGTCGTCCCACATGTAAGAGGGGATTCTCTTGTCCTTTCCAATGAAGAAGCATGCTATATCAAGAAATATCTGCCGTTCATTCTCATCTAGGTTGATGTAGCTCTTCTCCAAGGCTGCTTGGACCCTCTTATCAGGGGCTGCTTCCAATGCAGTCAATGTTTCTTGCCACGCTTTCTTTGATTTTACGAGAAACAGAGATGAACCTACCACCGTGAGCGCTAAAGGAAGCCCGTCAGTAGCAGCAACGATATCTTTTGACAGATTCTCGAATTTCTCTGGGGGAGAATCCTTCCCAAAAGCATGCCTACAGAACAATCTCAGAGCTTCATGTTGTCCCATCAGTCCGAGGCCAAAACTCTCCGCACCGTTGATGTTTCTAAGAACGTCTTTTGTTTGGGATGTCAGAATGACCCTGCTCCCTGGGCCAAGCCAATCAAGCTCCCCTACTATTGCGCCGAGCTGTTCGTGATCTTTCACATCGTCAAGGAGAACGAGGATCTTCATGGTAAGAAACCTGTTCTGAATATGAGTCAGAGCGTTGTCAGAACAATAAAACTTTTGGACATTTCCTTTATGGAGGTCGGAAATCAGTTTGTTTTGCAGAGACAAGACGCGGTGACGCTTAATTTCGGCTCGGATCTGCCCAAGAAAGCTACAGGCATCAAACAGATGATAAATTTGATTATAAACATGTTTCGCCAGGGCTGTCTTACCAACCCCTGCGATGCCATGTATTAACACCTTTTCACGTGTCGGCCCAATATTAACCGCTTGCCCATTTCGGTAGTCAACCTTCAGCTTTGCCATTATGTCTTGCACATGAGGATCGACTCCGACTAAATGTTTCGTCACTATTAGGTCCTCCTTCTTCAGCTTGTGCAGAACTTGGTGGACAATTTGCTTTATGAGCTTGCCATGAGGCCTGCCAAATGTAAATGGAATTAAAAAGGACAGGGAAGAGGAGAACTGAAAGCGGAAGAAAACGTATTTGGGCATGATGCAGCCGTGGTCATAGTTATAATAAGGAATATATAATTGGATATGATTTAAACCTAGTTAATCTTACGCAAATGTAGGCATGGCACATGAGAAAAAAGTAATCTCAGACCAGAGTGTGTCATGTAAATTACATTTCACTGGTTTCATGGAGATGGTATCCCGTCAACTGTCCGATCTGACGGAGAGAAGACACCCAGGAATTAATGACACTGCCCTCATAGTTGCGCTTGTGCCCTTGCATGGACCTTGCGAAAGGGCCCCTGCAGTTGCGTACATCCGACGGGTTGACGTAGTAGAAGATGGGGATGATGAGGTGACTCTCGTTGTCCATGCTTTTCAACATTTGCTCCAATTCCATGAGGCAGCTCTTGCTGTACCCGTAACCCTTGGATATGACGGGTATTGATATCTTGGACTGCTTGATCGCCTGGATCAGCTGGGGCGTGATTCCTTCGCCTATCTTCAGCTCTTCCTCGTCCTTAAAGACGCCAATCCCAGCATCAGTCAAGCTGGTGCACAGGCAATCCACAAAGTCCCTGCGCGCGTCCGGCCCTCTGAAACTCAGGAAAACTTCGTAAAGTGGCCGTCTAGACATTGATGAGGAATGATTGGTGGCGTGACTAATGTCCATTGTTTGTGTAGCAGATCTTGAGAAACGTCCGAAGGAGCTCGGTCACTACGCACGTGCATGTACCCTGAATCCACCATGTTCACACTTATAGGCCAGGGTTGACTTGGTTTTTCCTGAGCAAATTGACTGGTCGGTGGCAGTGGTGCCCGATGATCTTCTCTTTCGGTTGATTCTGTTCTGTATCGGGATTAGTATTCTAACCTTTTGTTCGATCTTATTTCGGTCGTTTTTCTTTCGGTTTTGTATTTTTCTTCCAAATGGCGAAACTATACTATAAGTAGACAATTTAGGATTGAATGCAAACAAACAACACCGCTCGCACCGAGAATTTTGGGTCAAAGCAATGGAAAAAAACACAGCTCAAGGACATGACACATTAATGCAATCCTGCATTGCCTACTTATTGGTAAGTAATGCAATCCTAAATTGTCTACTTATTCCTCGGGATTGAATCACTAGAGATAGATTACTGGAAAAAGGGGAAATAATCATTAAAAGAACTTGTTGGGTAGAGGTATATAAGTTAAATAATGTGATTATCTTAAATAAATGTATAACGACGGTTGAGATATGGTGATCCACCCATAGAAATATCGTGCGAAGTAGAGGATTCATGTCCCATGAACGCGTGTACATAATTTATTGGTATTGATTACAAAAACATGGTTGATATCGATAAAAGGTTATATTAAAGGGTGGTGAGAAAAACTTGTTGGGAAACAACAAACGCATTCAAACGTGCATCAAAGATGAGTAAGTTACTGGATCTGCACATAACTAAAGTAACTAACGCTTGGAAAATTGTATCTTCCATTTTCTAATGACAAAGGGACATTTTTTTTAACGTTCTTCTTACAAATTTATGAAAAACTCGGGATAACAAGTATTTCTGCTGCCTCGTTGGCTAAAGACATAACGAAGAAATATCTTATTATTTGATGCATCTTTTAACAACACATAGCTGTCCAAAGACAATGTCTCTAGTAGCTTCACCTGATATTCTAAATAACCCTTTTGCTAGAAACAAACTTGCCCAGCACAGAATGAAAGTATATTTTAAGTTGACCCAAAGTCACTTTAACAGAGTCCAATAAAACGTAATTAAGAACTGTTGTTACAAAGACTCGGATGAAAAACAAAACAAAACAAAAAAGATTTCAAATGTACTAACTAATCCCTATCTCGAATGTGCACTAGTATAAAGTTACTACGATGTTTTCCAACACAAACGTATCCATCAATGGCCGAGACAGACTATCAAGACACCCATGTGCCATAGTAGCACGGCATAAAGTAAAGGATCCATGAGTCTAAAGGGAGGAGTCTGTCCAACTAACACCTTAAAAAATAATTCCCATGCACGAGGAAATATAATATCTAAAGGGACGACGAGTGATGTCTCCCCATGGTCTTAGTTTATTCCTTGTGTCCCTACAAGTAATTGTTAAGGAGCCAGATGGGCACCCTCCTAGTCTATTCTCACGTGGCGGGGAGAACCAAGCAACAATTCACCGGTAACTAAGCAATTTAGGATGAATTTCTCCCCCAAAACTAAACCAACTGAAATCGACTTAACCCCAAGCAGAAACTAGCAATATACTCTACAATACAACCTCAAGTATGAAAATATAATGGTGATGTGAATTTTCGAGAGTCAATGTCACTGGCATAGTCTGCATCTGAATAGCCACTTAATTCAGGTTTCTGTTTTCATAACACAAGCAGAATCTGGTAGTACCTCTAAGATACTTCAAAATCCATATAATGGTGGTCCAATGCTCTTTATCTAGATTTGAGAGAAACCTGCTCAGAACACCAACTGAATGAGCAATATCTGGTCTTATACAAACCATTTTATACATCAAACTACCAACAGCCGATGCATAAGCATAAGGAATTTTCATTATCTCTTTCTTCTCTTTCTCACTTGTAGGACACTCCTTACTAGTCAACTTGAAATAGCTAGAAAGTGGAGTATTTATCGATTTACATGTGCTCATGTTAAATATTTCCACTACCTTTTCAATGTAATTCTCTTGAGATAGCCAAAGTTTCTTGTTCTTCCTTTCATGAGTAATTCTTAGTCCAAGGATTTGCCTAGCTGATCCTATATCCTTCATTGCAAAAACTTTACTCAAATCATTTTTAAAGCTCTTGATTTTCTTAACATCATGCCCAACTATCAACATGTCATCCACATAGAATAGAAGGATAAGAAAATTATTATCTGAGAATATTTTCATAAAGACACAAGAATCAGAGTTGGTCTTATCATATACATGATCTTCCATGAATGATTCAAACTTCATGTTCCATTGCCTTGGTGCTTGCTTGAGAACATATAAGCTTTTTCTCAATCTGCTTACAAGATGCTCCTTACCTTCAGCTTCAAAACCGTCTGGTTACTCCATATATATTTCTTCTTTAAGTCTCCATGGAGAAAGGTTGTTTTTACATCAAGCAGTTTAATTTCTAAATCCAAGCTGGTGGCTAACCCCAAAAAAACTCGAATATAAGGCATTTTTAAAATTGGTGAAAAAGTCTCTTCAGAGTCAATTCCTTTCTTTTGACAAAATCCCTTCACAACAAGCCTCGCCTTGTATCATGATTGCAACTACTTTCTTTCATCTTCAACTAGTACACCCATTTATTTTTTAGTGTTCTCTTACCGTTAGGCAACTTCGCCAATTCAATGTGTGGTTCTCATGTAAGGATTTGAGCTCCTCTTGCATGGCTTCATGCCGCTCATTCTTTTAATTATATGACATAATCTCTTTAAAAGTTTCAAGCTCTCCTGCATCAGTGAGTAACAGATACTCGTGCGGCTGATATCTTTGTTAAGGTCTATATTCTTTTTCAGATCTTCTAACTTGAGGTAGGACCGGCTGTTCTTGCTCAACTAAGTATTCTAGCTTAAAAAATTTCACCTGTCTCAACTGAAAAATCAACATATGATTTCCATGCACTTCTTCCCCATGATTTCCACCTAATATGGTGGGAGGATTTGGACTGAAACTAACAGAATGTTGGGCTGCATTATTTGGCCTCCCTAACTTGTCGATATCTTCAATGGTTTGTGTGACATTCTGAAATCTGACCCACTTGGGATTTATGAAATGAATGGTTTATGGACGTACTTGTAGTTAGATCTCGTCCGGAATTGATTACTCATGGGATACTAACCGTTAGAAAAAGGCTAATTAGGGATTTAAATTTGTGCGACCAAAGAAACTCGATCATGAATCGACTTTCGACCATAAAAATTGTCGAGGTCACATTTTGAGCCAATGTAGGCCGATCCAAGGATAGCTAGGGATCAATTCGCCGCTGTCATATTAGTGGATCGCGGGTGATTCCGCTTGACCACGAGATGAACTAACGAATGACCCTAAACCTTTACCAAACGATCGCGTCCGTCGGAACTAGCGATCGATCCTCGCGATTAAGTGACAACCGAGGTCGTCACGATCCGAGTGAACTTGAACGTGGCTTGATTCAGTATCGGCCACGGGTCAAATGTGCGAGTTTCCCCAAAAGCCACCCGTTAGTTCGAGATATGCTCAAGTTTCGTTAATTAAATTTAGTCATTAATTAACAACTAAGATTGGGCCTCGGAAATTATGAATGTTACGACAGGATAGTTGGACGACATTGTTATTGGCTTAGTCGGCCTTAGAATTGTCCGAATCCTTCAGAAAAATCGAATTTCGACGAGAAATGAAAAATGACCGTTTTACCCTTGGAATTTTGTTAAGACCAAGTATAATGGGGGAGGGGCATTTTGGTCATTTCATACCTACTTTAGAAATAGAAGTTTTTGGACAATTTTACCCTTGGGAATTTTGTGAAATTCTAATTTTGCCCCTAGATATTTTTAACAATGATTAATCTGGACCGTCAATCTTAGGATAAAATCGAATCTTGGACGTTGATTGGAAATGTGAGAGAGGGGTATGATGGTCATTTAGGCATAGGCTAGACACCAATTATTGGTGTTCTTCATATTTATTTCACATTTCTCTCTCTCCCTCTCATTCTCTCTCTTCTCTCGGCATCTCTCTCCCTCACTCCTCCTCACGACCGAGCCACCCCCTCCCCACCGTGACCGTGGCCATCCGGCCTAGCCAGCAGCCACCGCCGTCCTCCCGCCTAGCCGGATCAGCCGCGCCCGGAGCCACCGCCACCGCCGTGGCCGCTCACCTCACCACTGCCGCTTACCTCACCGCTTCTCCCTCCCCTGTTTTCCCTGCACCGAATCACCTCCCCCACCAGCCTTCACTCGGCTCAGCTCAGCCGAGACAGGCCAGCAGACCGCCGCTCGTCGTCTAGCCACTGACTGCTGCCCCTTTCCCCTCAGCCGAACTAGCTTAGGATTCCAAGTAAGTTACCTCTTAAACCTTATTTAGGATATCGGGTACCGATGGACGTAATTAGGGGTTGAATCGAGTTAATTAGGGGCTGTTTTAGACTAATTAGTGGCTGTTAAGGGCTGTTTTGGGTGGACTGAATTAAGGGCTATTGTTGGCTGATTTGTGGGTGAAATAGTTATGGTTCGGGACTGAATTAAGGCTGAATTGGGTGCTGGAAATTGTGGCTCGCATTGATGAGCGTATGGCCCAATTTAGGGACTATTTATGTCGGTTTGGCGCGTTGTGTTGTGGCTGGATTGTAGTTGTTGTTATGGCTGGAAATAGACTTGGAAATGCTGAATTTATGTTCACGATTGTGGCTGTGATTGTGGGCCCGATGGTGGCATTGTATGTTTGTTGAATTGTGAATTGATTGACTGAAATGTGGACCGTTATATGCGTGCATGGGCTGAATTGAATTGACTGGCAATTGGCCGTGATTGGGTGTTTATTGAGCATGTGAAATGCGTGAGGTTTGATGCGTGCATGGGCCAAATTTGGTCTGCTGATGATTTGGCTTGTTGGCGTGTAAATTGAGCGAGTGAACGAGTGAGAAATTGTGTGAGATGTCGTGCGTGTGGTCACGAAAATCCCTGATGCGGTACTATTATGCGGGGAATCATGCCGTCCT